TTTCAGCAGAACTGAGTTGGAATAATTAGTTCAATTAGTGAGATGGTATGTTGGGTTTTACAGTGTATCTCATCACAAGAAGCTAAATTATTTCATTTTTGCTGGGAAGTAGAACAAATCAAAAGTGTGTTTAATGCCAAAAATGTATACTACCATTATAACATTTTACTGAATTAGAGAATTAGTATGCCTTGAAAGAAAGGTAGGCTATAAAATTATATAGCGTTTTTTTTTATAGCAAGGTTTCACTGTAGCATAATGTACATGGAATTCCAAGTTGTGTGCTTCCTGCAGCCAGCAGTGTCAAACAAACACAACACAATAGGAACAACGGCCACCAATACAAAACAACGACAGCAGATGCACAGTACAGTGTGTTACCATGATGCGTAACTAAATATATGGTGTAACAGGTAGAGGCTCAGGAGACAATGGTGCAGGAATGGTGACCCTTGGAGGGCCAGTTTATTCAGAGAACAATGGGGAGAAAATACCAAACAAGGAGGGGGTCAGTCTGGGGACAGCAGACCCTTCAAAGCAGTAGCGCTTAAGTAATCACTAACTGAGAAAGCAAGTTTGCATAGTTTCCCTTTCGTATTTTGAAATGATTTCTTGCTGCTTTAAATGCTCTTGTAAATATTCCTCCTATCAGGACCAGTACCAGTTCCTCTATGACACAATAGAGAGCACCTTCCCTGCCCAGAACAATGAAGTACAGCCAAGCCAAGGGAGTGGACTCTGTGGACATGGCGACACATTGGGGGAAGGCAACAGCAGTGTTACCAAAGGTGGCCAGCAGGGGGACACATAACAGCATTTGATATAACCATTAAGGATGCTTGGTACTGCATTATAATGGTATCTATAGTGCATTATAGATCTATGAAAGCTTCACAAGTCATAATACATAATAAACATATCTATATGTGTTGTGCTATGTTTGTAATGCTTTATGGATGCATTATAGTGCATTATGAATGTGTTTATAAATTACTAAAAACATGGCCTTAAGTAAAGTGTTTCCAACCTATTTTCTATATAATCTTACTTTTGTTTTAATTTGTGGTACATTATACACATATGCTTCAGTAGTAATTCCCTCTTTTATTGTGAATGTTTTTGTCCTGCATATGTTTCTTACCTCATTTAAAAACATGAATGAAATCTAATTTATGCCTAAGGTCAAATTTCTTACTTATTCATGATAAATGATAAATAATTACAATTACAATATACAACAACAAAATCAAACACATCCTAAACATTGTACTAATTAACTATTTATGTTTAATTTCAGTTTAAGTGATCAACTTTGTTCATGAACTGGAATTGGAAATGTGGATTTTCTGATGAATAAATATGCCACTGTTTCCCATAGATGTATATGGATGTTTGCTTTTGTATAATTTGTACCAAATATATTTAACATACCAGTCCACTTGCCAAGAACCACTTCTTCATTTTTGTAGGGGTTTACATGACTAGCGTGCTTCCATTCAGTCACTACATCTTATCAGTTTTATGGGTCCAAGCATCATAAATTGGAACCTACAGC